AATCTTCAACAATGTATGTACTTTGTTAAGGCTTCCACTGCAGTCCAATATTTTTAACACTTTAGTGCAATAAAAAACATCTTGTATATTTTGCAGGATATGTGCTCGTGAGAAAGTATAGTGCTTACTGAAGGAGATTGTAAAATATGTTTAAAAAAATCATGCAAATTGTACCCAATCATTTATTGTCTGTGGTATATTATATCAATGTCAGTTGTATGATATGTAAAAAAGAAAAAAACAAACAAACAGAAAACAGAAAACAAGGGCAAAGCCAAAAATGAATGCTCTGCTTAATGAAAATAATTTTGTCACAGCAGGTTTTAAATGCTGTATTTTCTTTTTTTTTTGCATTTAGAGTGCCTTATATTTAATGCTTTTTCAATAATATTTCTTTGAGCTTTGATTGGTCTGTATTCACATAATACCCCATTACTTAATTTTACTTATGAAAAGAATAAAAAAAAATAGGAATTATTGTTTAATATTTTGCCAATGCCGCACCTATGTGCAGTGTGCACTATTTTCTTTACTGATAACAGTATGCAGAAGACTATTATTCTTCCAAAAATTTAAAACTTATATCTGTTATCACCGAGTTTCAGTATTTATCTGTACTATAGTTTATACACTCATGTGACTCCAAAAAACATATTTTTTTGGTTATATGTTGTGCTATGTGCTTCATGCTATATATACATTATGTTCATGTAAGACATTTTAATCCTGGAATACATTTATACAGCACAGTATTTTTCATAGGCACTTTATTAAGCCTTTCGTGACCAACAGCATGTCAGACCGGCCACCATTAAAGGGATTTGTTCAAGTGTGGTCTTGAAGGGGTTAAATATAATTTAACTGTTTATGTTTGATCAGATATTTTACCTTCTATGTTAGTTTAACACCATCAAATGTAACATTGTCATAAAAAAATCATAGTTAAAATTAAGAATACGGCTATGTTTTATGGTTTTTGTTCTTTGGTGTATGCTTGGAGGCCATTTTGAAAATGAAACTCTACTAAGGATTGTGTTAGAGCACTTTCATTGTAACTCACAATACTAATAATGGAAGGCTACCTCGGACTCTAAAAATTATATTAAAAAAGAAAACATGCACTACTTTACTACAATATTTTTTTCTCATCGTTAAACATATATATATAAATAATAGTGTTGAAAATCATTTGTAAAGGAAATATATATTCACAAATATATGAAAAGTCATCTCCATTAGTACATTTTACCAATTATCATATTTTTCCTATTTTTCTATTCGCACATTAAAATTAATAAAAATGCATTGTGTTTAAATCCCCATTTACATAATCCAACCTATCTTGCATCTTTAATGTAGGGAAGTGTGTTACAATCATTGATGTGCATTCCACTTTCTGTTTATTATTTGTTGTATTGTCATGCTACTTATTTTATTAAAGCATCCTTTTCTGCAAAAAAACATCTTAGGCAGAAAATGCATATTTTACGCATTATTGGCACGGTGCTATTATTTACCTATATCAGTGTAGTTATGTATAATTTTGTATTTAGAACATTGAAAAAAAACATATATAAACATGATTTGTACATAACTTCATTTTAGTTCTTTATTTTTTATTTTCTTTTTTTATTGACCTGCATGGTTGAGTTTTGGAGAAGATGGCTGGGAGGATTGCCCTCTGGGGAGAATTGCACTTTCTAAACCTTTGTACTATGCACTGCCCTATTGATTCTATACCCAATAATGTTATTACTTGAACCCATCTTTAAAAAAAAATGCTATGAAATTCACCTGTGTGTGTCTGTTTGTGTGTAAATAACACAATACCTTTAAAGAGACAAAATTAGTTTTGTGTTGAGAAAAGTGCAGATGGTATATTTTTCCCCAGATTGTTCCCTTTTGATGACAGAGGGACCTATAATAATAGAGTGAAGCCTTGATGACACCTGAAGTGTTATTACTCTGATACTCCAAAAATCCTACTAAAGTCTGCTGATTCCATCTTTTACATACTTTTTTGTGGCTTTGCCATCCAAGCTTGGAGTGTCTTTACAACGATAATACAAATTGTGTTCTTTGCTCTCGTTTTGGATGCATAGACTGAAAAAAATATATTTAAAAAAAAATAAACTTGTAAAATGGCTTGTTAAAAATACAATTACCTCTACTTAGTAGTACGCGTAAATGTTTTACAAGATGAAAGGCGTGCTTTTTATTTTCTTACTTCGTTACATTGGTGGCGAAAGAAGTCTGTCTGAAAATCAGTTCTTTGCTGACACAAGTTCCCTTTGTTACAAATGAATTCTAATAAAATGTCAGTGTTATGCAGTCTTGATGATCTCCTTTTAATTCTTACCATTTGCCAACTGTAATAGCATTGTACAAATGTGGGAATAAAATGTTTGAAGGCTTTTTTTTACAGTGTCCACAGATCTGGATGTGGTATAATCTATTATTTTTTTTTTACTTTCTGAAACTCATAAAGAGAGCATGGGATATGAAAATGAATTTAGTAGACAATGCAAATAATGTTATAAGTAATTGTTTTACCCCTAAAGTATGAATGCATTTCATGAAGCTTATTATTAGAGATGTCGCGAACCGTCCGCGAACTTCTCGCGAACGGTTCGCCACGGTTCGCCACGAGCTGTTCGCGGCGAACTCCGGTCAGCTGACACGTCCCGGCCAATCTCCAGCAGACCCTCCCTACCAGACCCTCCTACTTCCTGGACAGCATCCATGTTTCAACTGACCGGAGTTCGCCGCGAACAGCTCGTGGCGAACCGCAGCGAACCGTTCGCGACATCTCTACTTATTATGTATATTTTTGTAGAATTGATGTATGTGCCATTGCAGTTTTAGGTCTATGTTTATAATTACTCTGATTCATTAACGCTTAAATGATTCACACATTTAGAAATTGCAACAAGTATCTGGCTGATGAACAATGCAACTATAGAAAATGGCCTTTTTTAAAAAGAAATAATAATAATATAATAGGCTGGATTGTGAGTAATGGAAGTACCAGACCACCTCACTTCTAACAGTATTATTGAGTGTTTAGATGTCAAACCAGTCACATGGATGCAATGTTACGTTTGCTTTTAGAGTGTCAAGCAACACAAACCACTGCATTTACAATAATACAATGTTAGCACTTGTCTAGAGTAGAGTTCCAGTGCAGGACAAGAAAAAAGGGAAGTACAGGTTTACTAGATTTAGATTTTGTCAGAAATGCTCATTCCATCATCCAACATATTTCTATCCATGATTTGTGCACTCTTAGAATACTTACTTCAATCGTTATTCCTTTCCTCACCAAGTGAAAAGATATTGTGCTAAAACAAAGAGCTACCTATACTTATCTGAATTGTTCTTTGAAATCAAATTATATTAGGTGGGATTAAACTGCCAGCCCTCATGGAAACAGACAATTTGGTAATCATGCTTTTAAGAAAAATAAGTGGTATCCAGAAGTAAACTTGAGTAGATTAAATATTTTGTGCTCTTGTTTCAACCTGTTTCCTTGGAAAATCTCATGCAACCTAAACTCCTGATCCTGTAAGTAGTATTATAAGACAAATCTTCTGGGGGGAAAAAGACAACGAAATCTACAACCCGTATTAATTGCTCCCTTCAAAAATAAATTGCATTGTTTGTTTAGGAATATTTTTTAAATTAGGTATAATTACAGTATTAAGTACAAGATGTTTATCATACGTATATATTTAATTTTACACCACCATTATAATTGCTCTTTGACTCGTATTTTAGAATAAAACAAAATTTGCATTTATTAGCAAGTTTACATTTATGAAAAGCAGCTATACATACAGATATGTAAGAGCAGATCAGGACTCTGTTAGGCAAGCCTTACTAATACCAAGCTTTTGTCAAATTTCAAGACCTTTTTTTATTTATAGAAATGCAAATTAGAATTGAAATTCAGATTTAAAGTGAATTTACCCATGGCTTAGAAGTTTAATATGGTGAGGCAAGGTGCGTTTCCTGGAGTTTATCAGATAAATTTATTTTTTTCAATTTGACAATTTTTATTTTTGTCAGAAATAGTAACTCCACAAACAATAAAGGGGGTAGGGGGTACATAATAAAAGGAGGAGGAGGGACAAGGTGTAAATGCAACCTTTTTACATATATTTGCAATCATAGTTTTATCACACATCAGACATATCTACGTTAGCATATTAGTCACTCTCTGGGCCCTTTGCAATACTTTTTTTTTTTGCATAACACTTTTTCAGGGTCATTTATTCGTGTCTCTTATGTTGGTGCTCCACTGTCAGTGTGGTTGCCTTTCTCATGTCCCTGTGTTACATCTTTTATTGTGAAGTATGCCAACTGGGGGTATAGAAGAAAAGAAGAAGAGGGAGAGGAAGGGGGAGGGGGGATTATTTACATGTCACACTCTGTCCAAAAGTCCTTGGTTCAGTTAGTGAAATCTGCCCAAGTTTATGACTTTTGTAGGTGAGGTTACTCTATTTCTGGATGAGTTGGGCCTTTCATGTCGGGGTGTAGACCTCCTCTATTCTTACCCTCAGGGTTAAGGCCCGTGTGTCATGTTCAGAGTGTGGGTTTTAGGGTCAGGGACGGTATCCCTTCCTAACTATTTACATTTTGGGTGTCTTGCTCTGCTTCCCTCTCGATCTGATCCTTTGGGTCTCTTGCCCCTATATGGTCCCCTCATGGTTCCATCCTGGGTACGGTGCGCACCGTCCCTTGTGGGTTTTGGTTGTCTGTTCCTGCCCTGTTGTCTTGTCCCTTTTTGTGCCTCCTGGGTTAGGTCCCTGTTTTTGTCTCTCCCTCCCCCCATCCCCACTCAAGGTAGGCATCCCAATATTCCTTGGCCTCGCCATATGTTTTGCTGGGTTCATCTGCTGGTTGGTTTTGGTTTCATATTCTAGATTCAGTGATACTTGCTGAATCATCTGAAGTCTCTTTGGGGGCTGAGCTTGTTTCCATTGGCGTGCTATCATAAGGTTGGCAGCTATTATTATGTGGTATAGTAAGCTTGCAAGGGGTTTTGTGTAGGAGTCTGGTGTCATAAATAATAGGCCGCATTCTGGCCGTAGCTCAGTTTCTATGTGTAATGCCTCCTGAATAATCTCCTCTATCTGCCCCCAATATTCCCTAATGTTCAGGCATGTCCACCATATGTGGTACATAGTGCCCTCTCCTTCTTTACATCTCCAACATTGTTTCGGGGTATTGGGATATATTTTTGCCAGCCTAGTTGGCACCAGGTACCACCTGTACTGGATCTTGCGCATGAGCTCTAGGTGGGATGCGTATCTGGATCTTCCTTTGTGCCACTAGGAAGGCCTGTTGCCACTGGTCTTGGGTGAAACTCATGCCTATGTCTGTGTGCCATGCTTCTTGGAATTTGGCTGTTGCTCTGTGTGGTGGTGTGAGATTTTCTAGTAGGCCTGTTTAACTTTTATGCGATTCGCTAACAGTTTGCTCACCTTTTTGCCCTGCACGTAGTGGTTAATGTTGAATCTCTGCATGTTGGCGCGCAGTTGGTCAAGTGCCTGCTGTTGTATGAGTTTCGTGACTTGGGCTATTCTAGCTCTCGTCTCTGGGGTTGGGGTAATTTGGTTTGTGTTATTTACGTCGTACAGTTCTAATTGCCAAGCTTTGAGCTGGGACTGATTGGTCCTTTTCACGTATGCTGCCATACGGATCAGCAGGCCTCTTGCTACCGCCTTGTAGGCGAGCCACACCATCGTGTTTGTTACTTCCCCTTTGTCGTTAGAGTGAAAATAGGCTTCAAGGTCGTTAAGGATTCTACAAAATTCCTGTCTCGCAGCAAGGAGTTATTTATTTTCCATGGGCTGCGGTGTTTAAAGTTATACATATTTTTTAGTTCTATGGTCACCGGTGCATGATCTGACCAGGTGATTTGGTGTATGTCACTAGAGATGAGCTGGTACAATGCGGAACCCAATATCAGAAAACCATAAATTTTGGAGTAGGAGTTGTGGACTGCCGTGATGGTTGTCATGGAGGAGCTTTGCAATGGCTCTACAGTGCCGCTTCAGTGGGCTGTAGCTTTTTCTCTGTGGTAGGAGTGTGGTGTCTAACTTTGGGTCGAGTATGTGGTTAAAATCCCCTCCTAACACTGTTATGCCTTTTTGGATGTTGGTTACTTTGTGTATGATTTTGTGCAAAAAGTTTCTTTGGTTGGTGTTCGGGGAGTATACATTTACTATTGTGTATAACATGTCATTAATCAGTCCAATGACTATCACATAGCTTCCGTTCGTGTCTATGTCCAGGGAATGCAACGTAAACAAAACCGTTTTACTTATTAATATGGATTCCCCCCTGGACTTAGTGGGAGACGTCGCGTGGAACTGATGTGGGAAGTCTGTGGTCAGTATTTTGGGGTGGTCGTCTTTCCTAAAATGTGTTTTTTGGAGACATAGTATATCGGCTCCTATGGTTTTGACTTCTCTATTGAAAAGGTGTAGCTTTACTGGGGTGTTGAGTCCTCTAACATTAAGGGAACAGATCTTCACGATGGTTTGCGGTGTGTAGGTGCTGTGAGCTTTTTTTGGTTATCTATGGTTGCGAGGGCCACCGCTCTCCCCAGCTTAGTCAATCCGAGCCGGTGAGCCCTCTGTGTTGTAGGGGACATACTTATGGGGTCCGCAGAGCAATAGACCGAAGCACTTCCTCTATACAGAGGAGTCCTACATGGCTGGAGGGGTACCGGGTCACCCACTACCCGTGCCCCCTTCCTGCAAGCAGTATTGAAAACATATAATATTTGAGCATTCTGTATAACAACTTGTACCATAAGGGTAACATGAAAGAAAAGTGTTTACAAAAACATTCGTTGCTGTCCTGGTGGCTTGGCACTGCATCATCGTGCCTTAGGGGTTAGAGGCATAGGGCCTCATGTCCTGAGAGAGCTGCTTCCCTCGATGGTTATCCATGTACCTCTTCTCTAAGCTTTCCAGCCCTTGTTCGGGCCCCTCCTGAGATTCTCCATACAGCTCCATTGCTTACTTGCCTGCCCCCCTTGGGAGACGTGTGTAGGGTGCCCCACGGGGTTGCCTGCCTTGTGTGTCATGGCTGAGGAGTGGGGTCCCCGTTAATGATGTAGTGCCCCCGGCTTCTCGCTCCCTCCCCCGGGTGCACTCGTCATTTGCTATTCACTGTTCCGGGGTGCGGGTGGCACTGATGGGTATCATCAGGTGGGGTTGTGGTAATTGCTAGGTCTAGTATTATCCTTATAAGCAGTGAGTGTTCCCTTCAATATTCCTGTTACTTTTTTCTCTTTTTAAAAAAAAAAAAAAAAAATTGGGGGAAATTGTTTTGTTTTTTTGTAAAAATTACTAGTCTTATAGCCTAGTCGTAACATTGGTGATAATCAGGTCTCTGGTGATGTGGGTTTTGGTGCAATGTGCCTGTACTACATGGTGTTAATGGTATGGTTTTGCCCCTGGATTATGTATCTAGGGTTTAGGCCTCCCCTCAGTCCCCTGGTGTGTGATTCCTGTACCACTCCGGGAACATATAATTCACATTGCTACATTACCCACACCCGGTGTTGGTCTCCCATTCTGCGTTGTTGTTTTGCAGTGTCCGCTCACCATACCCACAGTCCAATTAGTTAAGTCCCAAAGGCTTATTTCTTCTTTGCTTTTTTTCCACTCCGGTGATGCCCGTGGTCCATTGTGTTACGCTGCCGCCAGCGATGTTGGTGCCATGTTCCATGTGCGCAGCACCCGTTGTCCTTCCTTCGGTGACCCGATGATTGTGGTCTTCCCCTCTCTCAACACCAATAGTTTAGTGGAGTATCCCCACCTGTACGATATTCTGTTCTCTCGCAGCCTCGTTGTAATGTCTTTAAAGTCTCTCCTCCTTTATATAGTGTGTAGGCGGAAATGTCTGCGAAAATAGTCGTACCTCTGTAGGCCTCTGGCATCTCCTTCCTTTTTCTGTTGGCATTGAGGACTGCCTCATTAGCATGGAAGTAGTGCATCCTCATCAGGACATCCATTTTGGATGTCAGAATCCTGTCTAGGAGGAGCAAGTCTTGTGGCAGATCTGGGACCAGCTCTCTCATCAGGCCTATCACGTATGCAGTGAGGTCATCGTTATTCACCGTTTCTGCAATGTCCCTTATGCGGAGGTTATTGCGGCGTGCTCGGTCCTCCATGTCCACTATTTTTAGGTCCTGTTCGTCTATCCGTGAGGCAATTCCTTCTGCAGTGTTTCCAGACTATTGTGTGCCTCCGTCAGCTCTGTTAAGGGCTCTTCCGTTTGGGATGTGCGGGTGCCCAGGTCTTGTAAATCTTTTCTGAGCTCTTTCATAGCTATGTCCATTTTTGTTATTATTTTATCAGATATTTCTTCCAGGAGGCATTTGAGTGAGCTCTGTGTCAGTGAGGTTTCATCCGTTGCAGGCCGTGTCTCACGATCTTGTTCTATCCTGTTCTTCGTCACCGCCATCTTGGGCCTGGTCCTGTTGGTGTGCTGCTCGACCGTGTCCAGCTCTGAAGGCAAAGAAATTGTTATTTTTGTTCTTTTCTGTGGTTCTCTTACTTTTGGGTTGCAACATCTTGCAGTTAAATCGCTTTTTTTTTCTTCAATTTTCTCGGCTGTAATTACACCTTTGTAGACCTCGAGGTTCGGAGCTGCAGGTACATGTGGCTACTCCGTTCCGTGTCAGGACACGCTCCCTCTATCAGATGAATTTTATCCCTCAAAAAGAAACTGCTGCTGCTGCAAAAAAAAAAATGAGTGATGAGTTTAGAAATTCAGGGCTTGTTTCAATCTTGTAGCTTCTTTTTACAAACCAGCTGCCTGTCACTAGTGTTGCCGAGCATTGGCTGCTTACCAATTGCAGAATTTCACCAGTAGCAACAGGGATAGTCTGCCGCTACTTAAAGCCGGGCTCTAAGTAGAAGCTAACGGCTCCCTTTATTCTCTATGGGAGTTGCTAACTGTTATTTTCAAAATCTGTCACTACTCATTACTAGCTTTCACTAACACTGAAAATGTTACACCTGTCTCTTTCCTGGTGTGAAGAAGTTGACAGCTAACTCCGAATACATCTTTAAGAAAAATACATGTCTATATATCATTTGATGAAAACCCTAAAGCACCTATCACAGTATAATAAACCACATTAAAACAGCAATAAAATTATAAGAAAAAGTCAGACTTCTGATTTTAGTATATATATATTTTTTTATATAAGTGAATTAAATGGGACATTTCTCATAGAATAAATTAACCTTAAAAGTTGCATAGGTATGTATTTGACATAGCAAAATAATCACAGTTCTATATATTGTGCACACTGTCACTGTCTCTTGCTAAAGCCAATCACAGAGAAAACATGTTCAAGGGGTTATTGCTATGGAGACAACTTACATCACGTGTGTTTTGGGGTTTTACTAGCTATCAGATGTTGTTAACTGCTACACTAAGAATAACTATTTATAGACAAGGTTGGAAACAAGCTGTTGTTCTAAAATTTGGATGCATCAGGTCCAAAGGCACTTCTAGAAGACCAACCATATCAACCCATCTTACTAAAAAGAACTTACACATACTGCAACATACTGAAATTTTAGTCATCCAATCTCATACTCTTTATTTGTATATGTTTCACAGGGCTCTGAAATTGTGCATACATTATAAACAGAACAAAGACCTTCTGGGTTCATTAGTATTTTATCTTATGTGCTAGAACATGTATCATTTTATGTGTTTAATTAAATATATTTAATTATTTAGATATTTTTTTTTTACTTTTGTACTTTACTTGCAACAGTTGCTGTAGTTTGTAGAGGCATGGTAGAGCTTGGTAGTATTTTTATTTTTATTTGAAGCTTGTAAACGATTTAGATGACATTTGTTATGCCTTTCATTAAATCTTTACGTAGATAATTGGACATTATGGATACAACTTATCAAAGAACAGAAGAGATAAATTAATTTGTACTTTGTTGGTTAGTAAAAGGTATACTTATTGAAATATTAGAAATAACATGCATAATAGCTCTGAAGAATGTTGTGTTTTAAGTTGTTTTGCTCTCTGCTATACTTAAAATATTAAACTATTACACACACCCATTACCAGTCAAGACAAAATACCACAATCAAAATGCATTAAAATAAATATAACCTTCCAATATTGCCCGATATTTCCAAAATGAGACTCTTGAAAGTGATGGTGTGTGATCTACTGTGATGCAATAAAACTAATCAATAGATGAAAACATCCACACAAAAAATAACAATTTTAGCAGAATTCCTTCTATGTGAAATTTAAGAGTCACCTAGACCAGTGTTCATTTTATACTTTCATCAAGATTTCTTTTGTTTATATCTTACATGTTATCTGTCAATAATCAACTGCCCTATTTTGTTTTTTCAAGCCACTACTTTTATACACCCTCAATCCCACTTTAAAGATTGTCTATTCATTTCATTTGTCTTTGTAAAAAATACATTTTTGGGGAAATTAAAATACCATTTTCCTTGCTCTATTAGATCTAAAGACTTTTAAAACTGACGGGAAATGATTGTCTGTTGTGTAATTTACAAAAACCTTTACATTAACACTGTCATCTATCAGTGTTATCACTTGTCAATTATTTTTTTAAACCAGCAAGCAAATATTCAAACAAAAAACAAAACAAGAAAAGCTTTGAAAAGAATGTAATAGTTGTTTATAAACTTTTATATTGGTCAGATTGCATTGTTGGGCATGTCTCCCAGCTCAGTTTAAGACCAGTTCGCTTATGACAGAAACATGGCATCATTGTGGAGAGAGAGAGAACTGACACCAGAGCTGGATCTGCATGGTCACACTCATCAGACTCCCTCTTTTCTCCCACTGTCAGATGTTGAAAGATAAAGAGATCTTCCAACTGCACATGTGTAAATCTTTCAGGCATGCCCAATGCATTTTTTCCACCATTCCTAAGGGTCAGACACTGATTGGTTAGATCAGTATCACTCTTGGAGCCGGTGTGGAAAGCATAAGAAAGAAGAAGTAGAAAAATGAGACTGTGGTCTCAAAGGTATGCATGTCCCTTTGATTTTGTGTTTGACTGAAAAACCTGCTTAATTTATAATGGTGTTATTTTTGCATTTTCTAGCATCATCTAGATAAATGGAATCATTTAAGTGTCACTACTGTACCCCAATGCATTTACTTAATCATACTCTGTTGTTATAACCTAATTCAGGTTTTATATTACACTCATGGACAGTTGCATCTGTTTTCAGATACCATCATTAATAAAGTCCTTCTTCTATTACTGATATGTAGGTAGATGGGCCGAAGAGAGACAGACAGTGAGATTATCTCTCCTCAGCTCCTTTTAGGAGATGTTACTAAAGAGAGAGCTCCTTTGAACAGGGCTCTCCTGAGCATTGTGATCCTGACTCTCTGAACTATGCAGATTGAGACAAACGCTCCTTACCCTGGACGTTTGCCACGATTTCCTGGAAGAGGCTGCTAGCTAGCATCTTTCCATAGGACTATGGGCCACATACAAAGATCCTGTTCGGGAGTTAAATCTCCCCAGTCACCATTAGCAGCTTTCCCTGGATGCCCCTGGTTCGGCACTTTCCTTTCATTCGAATGGAACTGAGCACTAGCTTCCTGGCTACCTACACTGCATGGATCGGAGCGCTATTTGGAGAACGTGGGCACTCAGATCAGGGCTATTTGGGGATGTTATTTTTGTGGGGTTATTATATATTTTTATAATGTTTTGGGTCATTTTATGTTTTATATTTTTATTTTTGCCTTTCTGTTCCTGGGAGATAATTAGCTTACCGGTCTTTAACACAATTATCTCCCAGGCCCAGAGATCTTTGCATTGTATTGTATGGAGACCCCTGCTGGGGGTCTGTGTATAAAAGTGGGCCATCTGGCCATAATAAAACCAGTCTTTTTGTACCCTTCATCAAGTCTAGGCTGATGTTTGGGTAGTTCAGAGCTTTAATCACAGCTTCACTTGGGATTTGGGAGAACTATATCGGAAATACTCAGGCAAGTATAGGGGATCTGTTACACTGATAATGCCATATTACCTTCTGTATCATCTGTAGCAAAAATTTTGAAATACCGATATGTATAGATATTGTAGATGAGGGGGTAGAAAATGTCCACTCCCACCAATGGTCACCCACGGTGCATAAATGTTTTAAAGGGAGGTATGCCTCAGTCTCCCCCCCCCAGTTATCCACCATTGGCAGCATGGTTGGGTGCTATTACCATAATAGCACCCAACATGCCATGGACATGCCATGGACAGCCTTCCTTTTCAGCCCCATTTAAAATTAAATAAAAGTCCATAATACATAGTTACATAGCTGAAAATAGACTTGCGTCCATCAAGTTCAGCCTTCCTCACATTTGTTTTTTGCTGTTGATCCAAAAGAAGTCAAAAAAACCCAATTTGAAGCACTTCCAATTTTGCAACAAGCTAGGAAAAAAATTCCTTCGTGACCCCAGAATGGCAGTCAGATTTATCCTTGGATCAAGCAGTTAATACCCTACATTGAAAGATTATATCCTTGAATATTCTGTTTTTGCAAGTATGCATCTAGTTGCTGTTTGAACATCTGTATGGACTCTGATAAAACCACCTCTTCAGGCAGAGAATTACACATCCTTATTGTTCTTACAGTAAAAAAAACCTTTCCTTTGCCTTAGACAAAATCTTCTTTCTTCTAGTCTAAACGCATGACCTCGTGTCCTATGTAAAGTCCGGTTTGTGAATAGATTTCTACACAATGGTTTGTATTGGCCCCGAATATATTTGTATAATGTTATCATATAACAGGTTTGAATGTGTTAACCTTTCTTCATAGCTGATAAGTTCCATTTCTTTTATTAATTTTGTAGCCCGCCTCTGCACTTTTTCTAATGCCAGAATACCCTTCTTTAGAACAGGTGCCCAAAATTGCTCTGCATATTCAATATGTGGTCTTACCAGTGATTTATAGAGAGGCAAAATTATATTCTCATCCCGAGAATACGTGACGATACTTACAAATAAAAAAGGCTTGTGGTGCTAAAAATAAGTCAAAGTGAGCTCTTGGAGGGTTCCCCAAAGACCAATGATTCAAAGCAGGAAAAGCCTTTATAAAGGCCTTGCTGAGATTTGAATCTCAGTCAGAGCACTCTGACAGGTAAGTGATAGCTTTACTCTTGAGACTTGCCTGTCAAAATGCAATTCCAAAATAGATAATATAATAATTGCCTTCCCTTATTGACACTTTTGTTTTTTCTTGTCCAGAATCCAACTCCTTTTTCCAAATGACTGTTTACTGTTTTCTGGATTTTATAACAAATGGCAGGTTACTGTTTTCTGGATTTTATCACAGTGATAAGAATAAAGTCAAGCTGCTCAATGTGTAGCCCATCAGGGGGGGAGCCCATCAGGGTGTTCACGTTCCTGGAATTAGGTAGCTACCATAGAAACATAGAATGTGGCGGCAGATAAGAACAATTCGGGCTATCTAGTCTGCCCAATTTTCTAAGTACTTTCATTAGTCCCTGGCCTTATCTTATAGTTAGGATAGCTTTATGCCTATCCAACGCATGCTTAAACTCCTTTACTGTGTTAACCTCTACCACTTTAGCTGGAAGGCTATTCCATGCATCCACTACCCTCTCAGTAAAGTAATACTTCCTGATATTTTTAAACCTTTGCCCCTCTAATTTAAGACTATGTCCTCTTGTTGTGGTAGTTTTTATTCTTTTAAATATAGTCTCCTCATTGACTGTGTTGATTCCCTTTATGTATTTAAATGTTTCTATCATATCCACCCTGTCTTGTCTTTCCTCCAAGCTATACATGTTAAGTTCCTTTAACCTTTCCTTGTAATATAGATACCACTGTCCCATTCACTCTCACAAACTTATAGAATAGTGTAAAGGATTTTGTACAAACAGCAAATTCATCAGTACAGCAGGCCCTGTGAATATGACCTTACATTAACAGTAGCTTACAGGGGACATTCCTCAATAGTCAGGAGAAACACATATATATAGTGCCCAACATTTCAAGTGGACAAAGAGGGGCACTTTGATTTTAGGGGTTTGAGTGGGGTGTGTTGCCAGGGGTGGGGCTGTTCTGAGAAATTCTAAATTATTAACAACGTTTAATGCAACTAAAAGGGAACAATGTATCTTATTTATACAGATTGATTTCTAAACACATTTACTGTAGTTTAAAGACACATTGCTGAATGTTTTATTATAATGGAGCTTTGGTTTACACTCAGGCACACCAACAATATGGAGCTCCTAGAAAAGAGAGACATTTGGACCCAAAATAGGCTCTGTCCCTCCTGAATGTGGACACTTTGAGGGTATGTATGTCATATAGAGGGTAATAACTCAAAACATACAAGTTGGATGGCATAAGTGAATAACACATTTCTTGTGAGAAGACACATACCAGAATAGATGCAAGCTATGTTAAACTCACTATTGACATTTATAAGGAATGACTAACCACCAGAGACTATAAAGCAAATTTAGGTAGCACTAACAATGAGCTTTTTGGACACTTACTGTCAAGAAAGGTGTGACTATTCAGGTTTAGGTTTAAAATAGCCATTTAGGTGGCCATGTGTTAAATAGATGATTTACCCCCCATTATTTTCCAGAGGCACATGGGTCTCCACACACCTGGCCCTACCCTGCATCGTCTCCTTGGCTGAGATCATAAAATGTAATTATCTCAGCCAATCCATAGCTTTCTAATAGAAATCAATGCATCTCTATGAGGAACATTTAGTGTCTCCATGCAGAGTGTGAGCATGGAGACGCCGACATCCATGATGCACATTGTGCAGCACTGACTCAGGAAGCACCTCTAGTGGCCTTCTTTGAAAAGGAAGTGTTTACATTAAAAGGCCTATTAAGGCTGTAGTTATTCTGGTGACTATAGTGTCACTTTAAAAAAGGTTTTTGGAATAAAATGGAGCAGATGCTAAAACAGGGTCCTAAAAGTAATGCACACAGTATATACTTGTGCTGAAAGGAGAACTTTTATATTCTGCAAGTTACATCATCACAAAATCAACTATAATGTGCATTAATCTTCTTTTATTCTTTCTGTGTATATATGCACACAATATACACTGATCGGCCAGAACATAAAACCTCTGGCAGGCTAAGTGAATAACATTGATTATATTGTTGCAATGACTCCTGTGAAGGAGTGGGATATGCTAGTAGCAAGTGAACAGTCATTTCTTCAATTTTATGTGTTGGAAGTAGGATAAATGGGTAAGGGAAAAAAAAATCTGTGTGACTTTGACAAGGGTCAAATAGTAATGGCTAGGCGATGGTCCAAGAACTTAAAAAAACAGCAAGTCTTGTGGGTTGTTCCTAGTATGCATTGGTTAGTACCAACCAAAAGTTGTGCAAGGAAGGACAACCAGTAAACTGGCGTTAGGGCCATGGGTGTCCAAGACTCATTGATGCACATGTGAAGCAAGGACTAGTCTGGTCAGATCACAAAGAGAGCAACTGTAGCTCAAATATTTGGTAAACCTTAATGCTGGCCATGATAATAAAAAGGTGTCAGGACACACAGTGCATCATAGTTTGCTGCATATGGTCCTGCATAGCTGCAGAACACTCAGACTGCACTTTCAATTGGGATATGAGCATCAGAACTGGATCAGTGAAATAGAAGAAGGTTTGTGACAATTCCACCTGACACCAGTGAAATAAATATGATTTTTTTTTATAAAATACAGCTTAACTTACAGGTACACAGCGTCCCAGGGTTACCTCCCAGATGGTAACCAACTACAGCAGGAAAGTATATTATATATATACACACACACACACACACACAGAGAATTTAGGGATATTTCTGGTGAACCTATAAACACAAATGTAACAGTGTAATATTGTAAAATAAATAGTTTTGGTGATTCATAAGACAAGTCCAGAGAGGAATTCGAAGGAGGAATTGTAGCCCCCTATTGATATCGTGGGTGGCACCCATAAGGCGCCTTTATCATCTTTATTCTGTGAGTGCAACCAAGAATTTACATTTGTCACTTATTTTAAATTATTACACTATGCTACATTTATGTTTATGGGTTTACCAGTAAGATCCCTAAATTCGGTGTGTATATATACATTCCTGCAATAGAAGAAGGTTGCCTGGTTTGATGAATCACATTTTCCTTTAGGGTGGATGACCGGGTGTGCAGGGAACAGATGGCAGAAGGATGCACTATGGCAATAAGGCAGGCCATTGGAGGCAGTGTTATGCTCTGGAAAATGTTCTTCTGGGAAACCTTGGGACCTGACATCCATGTTAATGTTACTTTGACACATGCCACCTACCTAAGATTGTTGCAGACAATGTACACCTCTTAATGTCAATGAAAACCGTAACGGAGCTCCAGTACTCCAACGGAATAGCTCCACCAAGTCTGCTTCCTCGTAGATATCAGGGACCCTGGAGCCCTTCAGACCCAGTCCCCGAGGCTTGACTGGGATCACTAGGGGCCTTTTTCACCCTTGACCAGGCTACTGTGTATATAGCCCTGGCACACGTTCCATCAGCAGATTTCACCAAACACCAGACGGCACTTGGTGAAGGTTAAAACAGAAACTCCCTAGCACACATATTTTAAGCCCCCAACAGCCTCATTTACATATAATGGTGCATAGAGTACTATAGTATAAGGGCTCATGGAAGATTGAGGAGGGACAAAGCAGCTAGTTGTCCCACTGGTCTGGCAGTGTCCCACTGGTCTGGCAGTGTCCCTGGGACAATGCCATGCTGGGGAAACAATAGGACAGGAAAAAGAGGGAGAAGCACAGACAAGCAATACATTCAACATACCCTGAATCCATCAATAGTGATCAACTGACTGTTGATCACTAAAAGCCAGCATCTAGGACTCATCTGCCTTTACTGCATCCAGCAATATAACATCTAAAATGCTGATCCGGGACGCCGTGAGCACTAAAGGTCGGCACCTAGTATGCATTTTGTGAACCAGTCTACAGACACTCGTTAATGAGGTCTGCATTTGAATATTTTTTTTGATTGTTTTATATTGATTTTTAGCTAAGAGCAAAGATTCTAATAAAGCCAATTTTATTTTTTGCAATCTGGACTGCATTTCATGAATTTCTACCGATATTGAGATTAATCAACTAAATTGTTCTTTTTCTCTGTGTTTCCACATATCCTTATTTCTACTACGGAATACCATCATCCAAAGGAATATTTGATTTAAGGAATTTGCACAGACATTACTGGACTGTTTATTAGTCTGTTGCAGCTAATGTGTCTGTTATTTCTCATGTTAATTATAGTACATGATTGCTTGAATATTTTGTACAGACAATCTCTAAAGTAGTACTATATTTTAAGTTATTTAAGTCAGAGATTTAGGGTATTTGCAATATTATTGCGAACCATACTAATGTTTACAGCAGTTAATGATCCCTGAACACCAAGGAACAACAATAAGGTTTACCTTATTCAGAGCATGAAAGCTGGAAAGAGGAAGTGCAGCATTTGAATTCTTTTAATGGAGTAGTGTGCCCTAAATGCCCAAATAAGGTTAAACTTTATTTTAAAAGATGATAAAAATGCTAATAAACTAACTGCACTAGTTAGGCAGTATGTAAATATTTTATTATTAGTAGTAGTATTATTATAGTTCATATATAAAGCGCCAACAAATCACACAGGTCCATCTATGGGTACAATGGTACAAGTAAAATGACACCGTAAAATATAAATAAGACAACAAATATGATAAACAAATACAGGAGGAGATGAGTGCCTTCTTCTCATGGGAACTTACAATATAGATGGATGGGGGGGGGTTAGAAACAGGAGGTGGGTACTGCTATGGTAAGAATGATGCTGATACAAATTGAAATGAGTGCATTTCTTGGAGAAATGGAGTTCATTAGTTACTGAGTTGAATGTTATACTTCTCTGAAAAATAATGCCTTAAGTGTATAAAGGTGTTCATAATGTCTTGCAGTGTTTAAAGGAAGATAGACTATGGAAAATTTGGACTACTTGTATATATCTGTTAATACCTCTTCCTATGCAGTTTAGCATAGGAAGAGGTATTAACAAATATATACAAGTAGTCCTCACTTTGTGACTTACCTGTTTTACGACTGCTCAGACTAACGACCAGCTCTCTAGCATGGGGATTCAAGGGATTCCAGAGATTCCCTGCGCTAGTGAGCTAATGTATGTTCAAGGAATTTTCCCTGAACATAGATTCACAGTGTTTCCTGCGCTAGTGAGCTGGTTTATGTTCGGTGTGAATTCCTCTGAACATAGACCTGCTCTCTAGCACATACCCTCCGTGATACAAATGAATGTAGCTGAAGTTACCAGTCGGTGGCGGTACCCAATATGGAGATCATATAATCCATTTGGAAAAAATAAAGAATTGTGTAGATCCGTTAGATCAAATGGAGTAAGTAAAACACATATAGTCTAACATTTATTTGGACATATTTTAGAGTCTTTAAAAACAGAGATTCAGTTAATAATAAAACAGAGTAAACCACAAATGGGATGAGCAGCAGCTTACAAGATTAAGTGGTGAGTACCTGCTACTCACAACTAGGCTCAATCACTGAAGAGTCACCCGATAACTCCTAGGGTCATCCTAGCTCTCAAACTCCCATGTGGTATGATCGCTGCTTCAGCTCCTAAAGGGCCGTTTGTGTCTCCCGGCTTGTAAAGCTCCGCCCAACATGTTTACATCACGTCTGCGCATTTTGCCGTACAAGGGTGGCTTCTTCAGGACGTATGATGCAGAGTTTGCCATTTTCCTTGTGTGCTATTTAAAGGCAAACTGTTTGTCCGTAATTGGCCCATTATCGGAGTCTTTCATTTGCATATTGCGATCCAATCTTAGTCCATAGTATGGCAGTATTTAACAACCATGCATAGTCAGGTGTTATTTATAATATTTAGAACAAACATATTATACATAAAACACATTAAATCTACAATAGCAGCTGTGTCAAACGTCATATAGTAATGAGAGCATAATTTTCCACATTAAAAATTAACATTAAATACACACAATTATTCACAAATAATTTTATTCCTTTAAAAAAGGCTTATATAGCATTTCATAGTTGGAGAAAAAAAGTCAAAATAATAAAGATAAAAATAGAATGATATTGTTAGAATGTTGTTACAGTATACTGTTAAGATACACAAGGATAAACAGTAAACTAAACAGTGCATCGGCTGTGTTTGTGAATTTGGTAACCTTATCACCCATAATCTCTCTATAAGGTGGTGCATTCATTCCAAACTGTATAAATGTCAATTCAAGAAATAAGTGTAAAAACCACAATTAAAACCCACATAGTGGTTCTACATAGGTGTGGGACATTCAAAACTGAGGTGGTTAATTTCGCACAATGGATTATCTGGTAAAATGAGGGAGTCTATATGTTATTGTTAGAATGAGTATGCCTTAGGTTTTCAAAATTTACTTTAAAAAAGCAAAATAAATAACAGATTGGT